AGCTATCATATTATTTTCTTTTCTTTTTGTCTCCTGTAGTGGGTTGACCCTGGCTGGATGCCAGGTACTGACTAAAGCCATTCTCTCACTCACTCCCCTCTGCCCTCTGCAGCTGGACTGAGGGGAGAAAATATAGCAAAGGGTTCGTGAGTTGAGATAAGGACCAGGAGAGATCACTCACTGATTACAGGCAAAACAGACTCAAAGTGGGGATATTAATTAAATTTATTGCTAACAGAATCAGAGCAGGGGAATGAGAAGTAAAATAAATCTTAAAAACACTTTCCCCCCCACCCCACCTTCCTTCCCGAGTTCTGCCTCCTCCCGCCCCAGCAGTGCAGGGAGACGGGAATGGGGATTACAGTCAGTTCAGCATGGGTTCCTCTCCCCACATGTCAGCAGGTCCCTACCAGGACCCTGCTCCAGCAGGGGCCTCCCATGGGGTCACTGCCTCCTTCGGGCATCCACCTGCTCCACTGTGGGTCCTCCATGGGGCTGCAGGGGTGTCTTCACCGTGATGGGCCTCCATGGGCTGCAGGGGCACAGCTGCCTCACCATGGGCTGCACTGTGGGCTGCAGGGGATCCTCAGCTACAGCACCTGCAGCACCTCCTGCCCCTCCTTCTGACCGTGGTGTCTGCAGAGTTGTTCGCGTGTTCTCACTCCTCTCTTCTCTGGCTGCGATTTTTATCTGCGCAACAATTTTTTTCTCTTTCTTAAGTGTGTTATCCCAGAGTCATTCCTGATGGGCTTGGCCTTGGCCAGTGGCGGCTCCACCCTGGACCCATCTGGTATTGGCTGGACATGGGGGAAGGAAGCTTCCAGCAACTTCTCACAGAGGCCACCCCTGTAGCCCCCCTGCTACCAAAACCTGGACATGTAAACCCAATACGTCTCCAGAGGTCTTTCTTTCCTGTTCCTGAGATAGTAAGGATCAATCCTCCTAGGCGTATGTTGAATTTATCAATCATATTGTCTCTGTGCTATTCATGCCTTACTGTTTCCCCTGGGAAATTTCCCTAGGAAATACTAGAGTAGTATTTGTGTCTTTCTCCCAGGAACATCACATGGATGTGTCTGATGTTCTGTAATCAGTTAGTGTCCTTGAGTCCTTGGACATAGCTGGCTCCTGTGCACGAGCTTCTAGTCTATGTGAAGTGGAAATTCTTTAGAGTTCCCAATATGTATTGCTTTCCCAATTTTATGCTGTTGTATTTCATTCCATTTCTGTTACTTTGGTTCTTCATGTGATCCCAATCTTCTTGAATAAAAGCAACACTCAGCTGAACTGACAATCTGTGTTTGTCAGCAAAGTTTATTGAAATTTTACTTTTTGTGCCTCGTTCATTAATGAAAAGGATGAATATTCTTCAGTCAAGCTGAATCAAGAATCAAGGCCCTTGAATGTCATTTGAACTAGACCACTAATCTCTGTTCTTGAAAATACTTGTCTGCCCTGTAGTGAATTCTTTACTGTTCTTACAATCCCTCTTTCCTTCATCCAAAGCAGTAATTTTCTTTGTGGCACTGTATCAGGTTTTTTATTATCTAACAGGAAAGTTGTGCACTGGCTTAGACTGACAGTCCAGTTTATCTCTGGCATTCCGTTCCAACTCAGAGTTCTGTTCAAAACTCTACTTGTGATTGAGGTAATGTGCTTACATCTACCTGAGTCACTTCTTGCCCCAATTACTCATAGGAGAAACATTTAATATGTTTTTAGTTTTGTTTTGGCAAATACATTAACTTGGTATTATATGTACTGCTGCAAATGTTTTGAAATATCTTGTCTGTTGAAATGGATTATATGTTCCAATTACTGTACAGTCCAAGATTGACATTTTTTCATCTATTCCCCTTTTACAATACTGCCTTTGTTGTTGCATTCAGCAGTATCATTCTTTATTGGAATTTGGAGCAGCACAGCTCATTTGGTTTGGGGATCATGCTGTTAAAAATATTACATAGCCACATCTAAAGAACAGTTACCACTGAACTTGGAATCATTTTGGACCATATGGCAGGTCTTCCACACTTCCAGCTTCATATATTTGAAATCATACAGGGCATAGGACTAGACTGCCGTGATAGTGCCGTGAATTCACTGCCAAGTTCCACTTCAGAAAAAACACACAGTTTTAATAACAAAAGCATTTTCTTCGATAAACTCTTATTAGGAAGGATAATAAAGTACACTGCTGACAATGGGGTGTTACAATTGATGAGTAAGTTACTTTTTAATGGGTCATAGTTGAACACTTCTTCATGGCTATAGTAGAAAGAAAGGAGAGATTGGGAACTTCAAAATCAACTGAATGATTTATGGGTTTGAATTTCTTCAGCATGATTCTGTTGGCAGAGTAGCATTCCAGGTGTTAATTGGTGCTTTAACACATCTGAAGTGGTTATTTAATTGTGTCATTTCACACTGTTAGATAGGTTTTGGAGAAACTCCAGCTGTTGCTCACTTTCAGTAGTGTGCCTTAGCAGTGCTGCTAGTCTTCCTCTTTAATGGGAGTCCATTAAAGATGGATTGTGTGATTTGTTTTGGTTTTAGTGAAAGATTTTCTCATATGAAGGGCATAACTATGTCCTTGTGGGGTGTGGCATTTGTTAGAAGCACTAAAACACTAGTCTGAGTTTTGAAAGTTTTTTAAGCTGTTAAACTGCGTAGCTGGATTGGAGCACCAGGTGATCTTTAGAACAAAATGTCTTCAGCTTTGTTTCTGCAAAAGACCAACATAGACCATTAGAAAACTGTCTTAGCTTGTTTAGCTCAGAAGCTTACAGGAAGAAAAGGAAGAGTTCAAGGGATGTGCAGTAGAATAGGATATGTGTCCACACTGCAGTTCACGTAGTTCTGGCACATGCTACTGTAAATCTCTAGCTTTTCCTTGGTGTCTTAAGCTCACCTGCTCTACAGTGAGGTGTTGCCATTGGTGCAGCAGGGTTCAGCAGTGTTTGTCTGCCCAAGCCTTGCAACCAGCCATGGGGCCTTCCTGGCTAAGCGGGAACTTGGCACTGACTATGTGGCACCAACAGAAAGATCATACAAGTGATGGTGCCATATGTGCGTAGGAGTTTTTCCTTGCTTTCTTGAGGTATTCTTTTAAATGCTGGTAGACATTCTCAAATTAGAGTGGGTTTAAAATGGGGAATTATAACAGAATTTCTTCTCTGTTTCATTTTATTATATGGTTTTATATAAGTTTTTATACATATTTACATTTTGATACATATGTATATGGGAAAAGTGAAATATTGATGGAAGGAAGACTCAGGTACAAAATACTGGTTCGAGTGGAAAGCATTGTTTCTTGCATAGGCTTTAACGGCATTTTTGTAAACTACCTTAGCTTGTGTCACTGAACAAAAGTCATAACAAAGTTGGAGGGATGTCTGATGTTTTATAGCTAGAAGGACATTCCTTATCAGCTGTCAGAGTTGGTCCCATTTCTTGTGTATGGGGAGGACTAAAGAGTGAATATTTCTGCTGTCTTAGGTCTTGCTCTTAGGTCTGCCTGGCCGGGAAGGTCCCGTTGAAGTTACTGGTGCTCCGGATGCCTGCAAAGCGCGTGGTTCTGAGTCTGTCTCACCGTACCTGGCAGCAATCCTGGCAAAAACCGGGGCTGCCGTGGAGCTCGGGGAGCACAGCCTGGGCTGGGCGCTCGTCCCTGGCTCCCTCTGGCATGGAGGCTCTTTGTCCCTGAGCTGGGGAGAAGTCAGAGACGTGTGAAAAGTAGGCCAGGGGTCGGGCCGGCCGCCGTGCCCGCCGAAATTGGAAGTGACGGACACCTCCCGGCTCGGCCGCTAATTTGCCCCCATGTTAAATGCCTCCGAAGACTAATTAAAATGAAAAGTTCTTGGGTCTCGCCGACAGACAGATTGAGTTATTGATGCTGGAAGCGGCCACCAACAGTAATTGCGGCCCATCCGCGGGCGAACGCCAGTTTTGGCATTCATAAGCAGCGCCAGGCTGACAGGGGTCAGGGGGTCAGCCCCGCCGAAACAAGAGGCCGAGGAAAGGCAAAATCAGCCCTCTGTTCATCGCTGTCAGCAGTGCTTTTGTTGTCATTAACTGTTTAGGTGTTCGAGCTGCTTTTTAGTCCTTTGAGGCCCAATTACGCTTCCCTGGTGAATCGTCACTGAAAAAGTTCTTTAAGCAGAATGTGACTACAACTCTTGCAGTCTGAAAAAGTAACTTCAGTTTGGCTGTCTTAGCTGTGTGTTCACCCACTGCATGAGGAGAGTTGTATTTTATTTGTGGAGCAAATGGCATGTGCCTCTAGTAGCATAAGTTTTCAGGAGGGATTAATTTGCACACAACTTGGGGATATCTAGAAGGATGTCACAATTTTGAATTTAAGTTAATGTTGTCTTTTTGTTGTTGTTGTTAAAGATGTACTATTCTAGGAGATAAAGGTAACATAAAGCATATTAGGTAACTAAACCAATGGTTAAATTTAATACAAATTTAGTTTTCTTCCAGCAGAGAGGCTGGGTGTGTTTTTAATAAAGTTTCTCTATAAGCATTTTTCAACTGGTGGCCTAACATGGTATTGCTTTTTTTCCATTGTGGTACTGTAGATAGTCACCACTGAGTTTCACTTCTAAGAAAAATAATGAAAATCAGTTTTCATGTCTGTAAAGAAAATAGTTTTTTATTCAGTCTGTGTTAATCTGTTGAATATTACCTGTAAAAGCTGTATGGAAGCCTAAAATTATACAACTGTGACTACTGCATTAACATACCTAATATTTTTTATAGGAATGGTAAAACATCTCTGTGGGTTGTTACCAGAAGTGTAGGTTTCAGAAAAACCCTGCTATTCAGTTGGATAGTAAACATGGCTAGTGTTTTCTTAATAAATAATAAACATGCACTTTTTTTTTCCCCAACCACAGGGTTATGATCAGTTTGATGAAGAATCTTGAGTGTTTTTTTCTTTCTTCCGAAATATATAAGAGTTTCTGAACACTTTGTTTTGTTGCATCTTTCAGGAAACGAAGGTGGAAAAGTTAGGAAAGCATCTTTGCAGTCAGGCACCAACGCTGGGATTGGGCTCACCGGACAGACCAGGCTTAACATTTGTCAAGCAGAAGGGCCAGTCGCCTTGCACAGGAAGGATTAAAAGTGAACAATGACTCGGTTGAGAGTTCATGAGCAATTGCTTGGAGCCTATCTGCTTATCATTCTCCATGTTCAAGGTAAATATGTGCTGGGTGAAATAAGTTTGTGGTTTTGATTCATAGCAGAGTTGTGTGTCTTCTGGTGTCTGAAGTGGGATTTTTTTCATTTGGAGTTTTCTTTTGCAGGCAGGTGACTTACCTGCCTGATATGCCACATGGACACTTCCCTAAAAAGAAGGACATTCTACTGGGTCATGTATTGTAGTACAGATTAGGTCTATTTTAGAAATGCTTAAATAGAGTCAATACAGAAATACATAGTACACTGTGGAGCAAGTTATATGGCCAGCAGAATTGAAGGTTTGACTTCCTGAATTTCAGTTCCCTATATGTGTGCATACTTGATCTCTCTGAACTTAACTCACTGAAGAGATTGCAGTGTGCAGTTCCCCGTGCCTTCTGGTGCTCCCAGCAGCCAAGAGATAGTGTGGTGTAACCAGTCTAAATTAGCTTGTTGTGCCTACTTGATGGGCCAAGGTGAGGCTGTGGGATGTTCACAGATAGCCTGCTTTTCAGTTAGTGAAGACACTCATTTGTACTCCTGTTGTCTTTCCAGCCACCACTTATTAAAAACTTTGGAAATCTGGTTATTAGAACTTTAACTCCTTTGTCAAATTGCATTGAATTAAAAAATAATATTGGGAACAGACCAGTGTTACTGTCTCATGCCCTATCAGGAGCTGAAGCTTAAGTATAAAGATTATAACTAGTTTGTGGGGAAACTCCATTTTACGTTTATTTCCTTACTCCTGATTAGCAGCTCTGTGTGGCAGATCTGATTCTGTAATTGCTTGTAGTTTGGAGAAGTGGCAGAATGGTATCTGAGCTGTTGGTGATGCTGTATTCTGTGGCTGGCACTTGAGCAGCAGTGCTCTGCCTGTGCAGCAGGCACGTACATCCCTCGCTGTTCTCTGTGTAAGATCACTTGTTCTCCCAGCTGAGCACCTTCCACGTGTTTGTGCACAGAGCTTTCTGTATGTTTTCAGAGAAACAGAGAAGACTAATTTGGTACTGCCATTTAAATACCTGATTATAAAAGGTTTCATATTCTCTTTCCATACTTAGATCAATTACTGCTTAGTGCTTGATTTTATTTTGAGATATTATATGAGCTATTTACTTTCAAGAATCACAATTCAATGAACCCATTAAAATGGGGAGAGGAGGAAGCCTGGTAAGTACCCAAATGACAATCTTTCTGTTCTGTTTCTGGTGTGTATCTGCAATATTAGATTAAAGAATGTAGCAGAGCTGTCTCTTTCAAGGCTATGCTTGATCCATAGCTTGACAACTGATTTGAAGAGCAGACCTGCATCAGCCTCTTCCCATGTGCTGGTATTTAAATGAGCAGGGCCTCAGAGCACATATCTAAGCTTTCTCAAGTCCTACCCCACACACACATTCACAGCTAAGCTTTTATGGAGCAAAAGTCCTCTCTGGATCTGTGCAGAATTGCTCTTTAGCTAAAGTTATTAGAAACTGCTGTTCTGCCTTTTGGTTTCCTGTGGGGTTCGGTCCCGGAGGCAGCCACGAGCACACTGAGGGTTCTGTATTGTTGGGTACAGCCTGCAGACTTGTAAACACTTTTCTTCTGAAACTGGACAGGTGTTTTTGCATAATTGCCAAGTTCCTTGTGCATTTTGTTCTCTTTAGCCTGCAGAGGCTAAGAATAGTGTCACCAAACTTCTTGACGTGGTTTAAGCACTGGTGTTTGGCTTGATTCGGTCTGTGTGTGTAAACATGCACACCTGTGTTCCAGGAGTGGGGAAGAGCATGGGCCTTAGTTTGATACATTGCCATTGCAGGAAAGATTTGAAGGTTGAAAGCAACAAATCATAAATCCAGGATTATTCTATCTTTGTCACATCAGCTAAGTTGAAAGAGGAGAATTCTCCAGACCAATCCCTCATCCTGTTGTTGGACATACAGTTTTTAATTTTCAAAAAGTAACCTGGTTTTGGGTGTAGTTGAAGTTTGTAGTACAGATTTGCAAATATTTGCAGATAGCTTTAAGGTACTTAGATTGGTTATGGGCACACACTAAAGGAAATTTTGATGAGAAATTAGGGAAGATGTTTTCACAGTGAATGTGGTTAAATATTAGAACAGACTGCCTGGGGAGGTTGTGCAACATCCATCCTTAGAGACAGTCAGAATTTTACTGGAATGACTGAAGAACCTGGTCTGATGTAGAAGTTGGTCCTGCTTTGACCAGGTGGTGGTACCAGGTGACTTCTGGATGTCTCCTCCACTCTGAAACACTCTCAGACAGTGTTTTGCAGTGGAGCTTATTCCGCTTGTATTCAAGCAGTTTTGCTGCTTCTCGCAGCAGGTACAGCTTCTTCCCTTGAAGAGGCAGGGAGTGATATGCTTTGTTCTTTTTGCTGAAGTCATGGTTACCCCTGTGCATTAGTCAATATTTAGCATTTTACTCATAGGCATTAGCAACTGAAGGATTATTTTTTTCCTCTTTAGATACAAATAGAAATAGTAATACAAATATACAGGTCTTCTAGTTACTTAAAATTAAATTACATTAACTCCTTCCATGACCATATTGATTAATAAGATTCAATAAATAACTTCTAGTAAGTATTATTAGCTAAATTAAGCTCAAAGACTGAAAAATTTTCCTTCAACTTCTAAAGGAGAAATTGCCTTATCTCAGACTTATCTCCTGACTTTAAATACTGAAGGAGTTCTGAAAGCTATGGAAAAGTTGAGCTTACTGAAACATTGTAGGTTCTTTGCAAGTTGCCTAAGGGCTTTTCTTCAAACAGTGAGATATGCTTGGTTTCCAAGGATGGTGAGTAAAAAACAGTCAGATCTCTCTGCTTGTCCCTCGATTCATGGAGGAAAGAATTAACTTGATAGTCATGAAGTATTTGAAATTTTTTTTAGAGAAGAGACAATTTAAAGTGAAAAGTCTCTAAAAAGTGGAAAAAAATAGTTTCAACAAGGAAAATGTATATGGGATGTTGCAAAAATGCATCATAAAGTAACCGGCAGAGGTGGAGAGGATTCATTATAAGGAATTGAAGAGAATTTGTACGATTTACATGAAGAGAAGGAAAAGCAGAGAAAATAGAAACACCCAGTGTCTGTACCTTTAAGTATCTGGCACGCAGCTTCATGCTTTGCTCCTTTGCTTTTTTTGGAAGCTTCTTCAGAATGGTAGGAATTTCAGGGCTTACCAAGACCTGAGAGAATGATAATAGCAAGCGTGTCTGTAAACCTGCATGTATATGTATACATACCAGATTCCTTTGCAGGTAACTTGAAAAAGCAAGTGGCTGCATGTGTTGATTAATGTCAAAATGTTCTTAGAATAACAGCAGAAAACAGAGGCAATTCCATGACATTACTGGTGAACAGCTGCAATTTCTCGGGTCGTTACTACAGAGCAGGAGGACCCAGTGGTTACCCTTTGGATTTTATCTTCTTTTTAGCTTATGGCACTTCTTCACCCGTGTTGAGAAATGGTCAAAAATAAGCCTGGGTTGCAGATGGGTATATTTAATAACAGCCTTTTCAACTAAAACATTTTTGTATTTCCTTTCTTGCTGTGGGAGGCCTTTGCAGTATCTATTAATCTGTGGCTTGCTCTGCATCTTCACCCACCTGCTTTTGCTGATCTAAGGCAAGAGCTTACCGGCTTCAATTGCAGTTGAGGACTGCAGCAAACAGGCTTTTGTCTTCCCCCTAGCGCAAGTTTTCCATTCAGAGAACCAGTTTTACTTCTGAGTAAAGCTTTTTCTTCCTTGTTACACTGCACTGACGAGCTGATCAATATATGTAACAGAGCAGTAAAGTGCTTCATGTGTACTCGAACTTGTTCTTGTAGATTTTGTTGCTGGCAGTTTACTTCATATGTGGTTCATCATACCTTCATGTGTTCTTCAGAGGCACTGCAGAAGATCAGTATTTTAATCCTTGTAAATTAGGTGACTAAAAATGCATTAGTAGCATTTGATATGTATGAAGGTTTATTAAAAGTTAAATTTAAAAATAATTAGTGCCGATATTAATATTATAATGGCCTTAAAGTTGCCACTGTTCATTAGGGAACTGAAAAAAAAAAAATCTGTTAAGGTTTGATTTCACTGCTCTAATTACTTTTATTCAGATATTTGATATAGATAAAATTAATAAATTTTAAAACCTTTATGCATTTTCTCCACTTCAGGTGAAATAGTTACTGAATTTAATATATAAACTAATCTGAAATAAAATATTCTAAGATCTGTAGAATGAGCTTAGAATTGTCAGTAGCTGATTCACTACTTGAAGACAGTATAGTTCTGTTTACTGGTGATTTCCCCAAATAATGACTGCATCTATCTTTAAAATATGGGCAGCAAACATGTTCTTCAATATTTGTCTAATTAAAGTCCCAAGGGATTATTAAAAGTTGATCTATTTCTTTATTATAATTTCACATTTACTTTTAAGTAACTTTATTCTTTAAAAGGCCATTTAACTTAAATTAGAATGCAGTGTACTTTTTTTTAAGTAAAATACACAAAATTTTCACGTCTCTGGCTTTTATTCTGAATACATAAGAACAGAGTAGTCGTCTCGAGAAGTGACTTTTTGAGGGAAGAGAAGTGGGAACAGAGGCTGGGGATTGCTGGTTGGGAGGGTAAGGAGGCAGGGGCTGCCTGTCTGTGTTGAGCACTGGTGTAGCTCCTGGGAGAGCTGGAGGGAAGGAGAGAGGTTTTAAACAAGTAGTCTGGGAACATGCTGTGATTTTTAGGAACCAGTTCTGCTGGAGGAGCTACCTCTAACACGTCTGGTCTTTGGAGATCACAACCTTGATATATAAAAAATACTATAGGTAGAATTATACTTAAAATGCAAGACACAGAGCTCATAGAAGCATTTAAGATACTTTCTTTGCACTCACACAGTTTTTCTGAATTTTTTTTTATTATTATTTTGTCTTTTAAGGGCAAGTACTAGTATAGTACTTAATTTTTTATCAGTTGTACCAAGTTTAATTCACATAGCAGAACATGTGAAATCATTGTGGAAGTTTGTGATAGGTGAATGTGGAGTGGATACTTTTGCAGTGTGTGCATCCTAAAGCAAGAAAAAGGAACTTAAAACTACCACATAAAATTTTCAGGGTATGTCCTTTCTCATAAGGAAGGCTTATCTAACATAAAGAGTGTTGGTACAACTTCCATCTTTGAGGAGAGCCCGGTGTGGGTGAGCCCTGAGCTGGCCCCAGCAAACAGCAATAGCACCAGCAGGAGGGCAGGTGAAGGTGGTCTTCTGACATTCTTATTTAAATGCTGAATTTCTTGGAGTTTACAAGCCTAGATCAGAATAGCTACAAAGAAATGCCGCTCGTGCTGTAGTTCTGCTGAGAAAAATCCCTTTTAAGGATTGTGTACTCTGGAATAAAAATGTTTTTATGGGCAACATCTTCATTAAAAATTCAGAAAGCTGTCGAACAACTTGACTGCTGTTGGCCACATTGCAGCTGTATTTGTGGAGGAAGAGTGGATGCAGTTAAGTTACAAACTGTAGGCATAATTTAGCTTTTGTATTTGTCTTCTTTCATTTACTGCTGTCTCTGAATTTCTTAATAGAGCTGGGGGGTTTTTTGGGGTTACACGAATCTTTTCTTAGATCAGAAGACTTAATGAAATTATCCATGTATCTTGGCATTGAGCTGCAGCCAGGTTAGCTCAGCTTTTAGTGGTTAGTAACACCTCAGTGTCACGCACAGTGTGTTTTAAAGACTTATCCACGTTAATATTTGTATTTAAAGCCATGCTTTCAAGTAGACTTAGATTTCTAACCTACTGGAATTTTTAATATCCTGTGCTTCTTTGAAATCCATTTTATAGTCTAACTTACTTTCTGTGATTGGAAGAAATAGTGCTTTGAATAATTTATATTTTGATCAAGGGCTGGATATGATGCGTTGGCAAGCATTGTCCTATTTTAAAAACTTATTATTAACTTTTTAAAAAATTGTATTTATATTATTAAAATCTAGTTAAATTTTAAACAGCAAGCCATTTACATGTCATCCTGTCTTTAGCAGGAATCTACAATGAATGCAGTATGTATGGTGGGGCAGAGCAAATTATGAAATGGGACCTTGAAGTCCCATCAGCTTTTTCCTCATCACTGTCTTACACTGTATTTATGTGAGGAGAATGTTCCAGCTCACTGTCACTGATATTTTGTTGAATGTTGTAAGTTTTTGAAATGTGGTAGAATACACAATACAGAGCAGTTTGCATGGTTAGAAGTACATGATACACTGAAGTATATCATTCTCACAAGGCTGGACAAATAGGCTGCAAGTGGTCCAGGATCTCGAAGAAGTCCTCTAGTGTGTGATAGTTCATTTGTTGATAGTGTATATTATTTTGCCTCACCAGCCCTGTACAGTTTACAAGAGAAGGGTGGGAGATAGTGGAGAAAGAAGCTTCGCTGGGTCTGAGGTCTCCAAGTACTGTATTTCAAGGCAGACATTTATTCTTTTGAAGCTGTTAATGCACAGCTCTTACACTTTTGAGATTTGTGTATGTGTATTTCTTAGCTGTACTGCACAGTGACAGCTGCATGTGTCATTGAAAAGCAGACATTAATTACATCATCAGGTAGTGTAGTGTCACGAGATCCCTAAAACATGATCCTCCCTTCCGCTGTCCTGCTCCCAGGAGGAAGATAACAGCAGTGTGAATGTTTGAGAGGTGGAGGAGCTCTGAGGGTGGGGAGATGATGAGACAAGAAGATGTAAGAGGGTTGGATGGTTCTTGAAGCAAAATGTTGTTTAGGCTCATCCTTAGTTCACTCTTGTTCGTTTACCCAGTATGTATTAACCAGGAAAACTACAATGAAGCATCCTGTGATTCCAGGACCTTCAGCTGCCCTCTTAAGTGCATGGAAGCCAAGTCTACCCATGTTCATCTCCCTTCCCCATGCCTAGCGACTTTAGGGTGGACACTAATCTGTCTGGAAGTGCTGAGGATGAATTTTAATACTGCAGTAAAGGGTGCAGTAAGGTATAATATATAGGTGGAAGTGATTAAAAACTGCTTTCTGAAGTGAGCTAGAAGAAATGAGAGAAGCTCATTTCTGGAATGAACTAGAAGAAGCCATTTTTAAGAGTTCCTTGATTTCTTTTCTAAGAAATTGAAAAAACATTGCATTCAGTGATCAGGGTAGGAAGGTGGATGACTGACTGATGAGACATAGATCATAAAGCATTCAGACTTCTAACATGTGGAATGTCCCTGAAGGTAATGGGGGTTTTATAACATTAACTGGGAAAGATACCTTAGTCGTTAAACAAAATGAGGAAGAAAGGAAGACAATATTTGCACAAATGCAGTGGCTTTTCCTTTAAATATGAAGTATAATTACCTGTTGTCTGCACAGGTAAGGATCTCTTAAATGTGAATATGAAATGTTGTGTAACATCTATAGCATGGTATAAAATGAGCTTTCAGTTTATGCTGGGAAGAAATGTGTGGAAAGAGAGAGGGGACAGGTGGAGGAGCTATTTCAGTTGTGCAGAATTTCTCTTGGTTAAATCAGAAATACCTACTGCTCAGACCTCAGTTATTATAGCACTGGACCTTATTTCGTGTTAACAGTTCTGTACTTATCAGGACTGTTTAACTGTGGCATTATTGAAGTACTGTTGGAAAACCACATTTCAAATAAAACGTGGCTAAGTGATGTGAGAAACTCAAATGGTAGATGGTGTTGTACTTTCTTAGGATATTCTCTTACTTGTATCCAGAAAAAGCAGTTTCATTACCTGGCTGAAACAGGACTGTGCACTAGGTGAGCTGCATTAATCAGATAAGGAAATCTGCAGATCTGCTATTTTCAGAACAATAAGATCAAATTTCACAAATATTTAATCTCAAGTTTGTTTGAATGACATAGTGGATGTTACTGTAGAGAGATACAGAGGGTTGTAACTGTACAGGATTTTAATCAAGTTCTTCTGCACATCTCAAGCAAGGTTCAACAGGAAACTGATGTTCTCATCACTCTGCAGCCAGGGTTTGGTAGGTTTGACAGGAAGCCACAAGAATCTGTTCCAAGAGACCGTGTTTTGTTTGTTTTTTTTTTTTTCCCCTTAGGTAAATTGAGATTTTTATTGTGACCAAATTATTTTTGAGAAGTATTGAGGATAGTGACTGAATTTGTAAAAGCTTCTGTTGGTCCTGATCGGTGTTGTTTTACTTTGCACACTGAGCCTCGCACAGGGACTTGCTGTAAACTGTATCTGAGCAGGTGATAAGTTTGTTCACAGCTCTTCTCTCTGTGTTTGGTTAATACCATGAGGACTTGGAGCCAACAATACTGTCAGGTGGTGGACAGAAAGAGATTTTCTGTTGGTAAAATTATGTATGATAAAGCTGGAGGAGACAGATGATGTTCTCATCTCATATGGTGATCACAAAGCATATTCCAAATGGGGCAGATTATGTTCCTAAATTTTTTTTTCTGGCTCTTTTTCACTAAGAAGAAAATAGGTGGATGTTTTCTTCTGAATGCCTACATTCACCAAAGCACATTAATAATATGAACAAGGACAAATGATGCTTAACTCTCCTACTGAGAAACTGAGGGCTACTTGGAACATAACGTAGCCCTGTTTCTATTCTGTGAAAGCTCGTCTGTATGGATGTTCATGTCATTTACCAAAATTTAATTTGCAAACAAGATTTACTTTAGCTGTGTTTTGAAGTACTAATGCATACAGAGATCAAAAAAACCGAAGAGATTTTGGAGTTATTACTGCTCTTCTATGAGACTCTTGAATCCATAAAAAATTACTTCAGTTCAGAAAATTAGAAAATTGCATATTAAGTACGTTCAGTCATGCATAAAATTATTCTTGTTGTGGTTATCAAACAGTCAGCATTTTGGTTTTCTAAATACATGAATGAGAAAGGCTTTCTTCAGAAAATTCTAACCAGTTACATCACTACTTTTCTGCCCCACCTTAAAACAGGAAAAGATGTTCCTTTTCATACTTACTAGGGTGGAAAATCTACTGTGAAGGTAAAAAAATATTTGAGCTAGGTATTTCTAGAATAAAATTATTAACTCAAATTTCTGTCATAATCTTGGGAGAGGAAGTTCTTGTGTCTTGCATAGTTCAATTATTTATTAATATAATTATTCTGTTGTCATATTTTGCCTGTAAAAGTCAAGAACAGTTACCAGAGAGATGCAAAAATACTTTATTTTTTTTTAATGTGCAGGTCAAAATCTAGACATGCTTCATGGCACAGGAATGAAGACAAATTCTGACCAAAAGAAACAAGCAAATGGAGTCACGCTTGCTCCAGAGGACACCTTACCTTTTCTGAAGTGCTACTGCTCGGGACATTGTCCAGATGATGCTATTAATAACACATGCATGTGAGTATTGCATTGAGGCTTAGAAAGGCTCTTTGAAGAGGCTCGTTTTGGCTTTGCAGAGAGCAAACTTCCCTCTGGAGTGCTGACCAAGGTTCTCTCAGGTGATTTGACCATAATTGATTAGACACTCACTGGTTCTGTGAAGAGCCAAGTGCCAAAACCCGTGGTCATCTCTATGTAAACAATAACAGTTTTCACCATAACATAGAACCATTTGCAAGCAGTGACTTCACCTCCAACAACTGCTTTTAAAGACTGAGTAAGTAACCTGTAGTATTTTATAACTGGGTGAGTATGAAGTGACCCAAACCTAAGCCTTCTGGTACCAACCACCTGTTTGCTTCTTTTTTCCCCTACACGACACAGCCATGTACTGAGAATTCTAGTTATGTGTTCTTTAGTTATAAACTATCAAGGAAAGGCAGGGGGGAAAAAAAGAAAAGCCTGTGAACATGTAGGGACAGGAGGGAAGTTTTATCTTTGACAGGCATAAGAATCATAACAGACTCATGCACTGATTATATGCTTGCTTAAGGTGTTCTTCATATCATAAAATGTCCTTGGTTTTCCTTTTCCCTTCATTTGCAGTTCATGCTTTAAGGCCCTTTGGCCTTCGACCTACACAGGTAGTATCTTACAGAAATAGTTTTACACTGAGAAAATGTTTTAGTATTGTTTTCAAATCCTTTGGTATTTATTTATTGGTTTTTATTGCCCTCTAGTGTATGCAGTCAGTATAGGCTTTACTAATGTTTTTGTCTGAATTGGTGACTGTATGTCATTATGCTGATAATAAAGCTGTTAGTTAATGACACTTATGCAGTGTCCATCTGCAGGGTATTTTATGGCATTTTGCTTTCCACATTTGCATCTCTTTAAATTCATTTAAATAGATTGTGGTAAAGACAAAATTATTTCTAGATTTGTTTTCCTTAGTAAGGGAATGAATGAACTTCTACATGCATTGAAATCACAGACCTAGTATTGCAGTTTGGTTTGGGATTCCTTACAAATATTGTTGACATTTTCAGGTAGTATGGAAGTCAAAGCAATTGTGTAACGAGATAGTGAGGAATTTAAGGGCCTTTTTTTTTTTTTAAAGAATGTAATTAATTTCTTACTGTCATTTTTAGAAAGTGGATTTAGAGGTTTGTCTTGCCCTAAAGGCTGAATATTTGAGAGAGGTTATGTGGGAAAAGGCTGGCTGTGCTATAGACCTTGAAACAGCCACCACTCACATACTGGGACTTCTCTTTGAGAGTTTATCATTGCAGTTTCAAAACACACATGAGTGAGGTTTTTTTAACCTGTAAAATTGTGTCAGTAAGCTTTTTTTTAGTCTGCTTTTCCATCCCCTCAGTTCTGGGTGTCTGTGGTTGGATATGAGCAGTCTTGAAGAGGGGTGAGGAAGCAGAAAACAGAGTATTGGTGAGAAAGCATCCCTGTATGTTCTGTTTGAGAATCCTGTGGGGGTCTCTTGTTCTCAAACCAGCTGGTAGCCACTGTGTTAAAGAAGAATTTTTCTAGATTTTTTTTTTCTAGTATTCTTAATGGGTTCATGATCGACTAATGCTGCATATTAAACAACAAACATGCTGGTAAAGCACAAGTGATATGTTTATTCCAGAACTAACGGGCATTGCTTTGCTATCATTGAGGAAGATGAACATGGAGAACCCACGCTTGCTTCTGGCTGCATGAAGTATGAAGGTTCAGACTTCCAGTGCAAGGTAAAAGAATGAAATGCCATTAAAATTTAAGATCTCCATGGAGCTTATATAGGGAAACTGCATAAGCAGTTTAAATTTTGGTAGTTTACAACTGCAATTGTAGAATTTTGCACGTTGCCATTTACCACTGAGAAGAACAGGACCAAATAGGCAGAAAGGACACTTAATGGTGTTTGAACAAAGACTGGAATAGAATCATAGCTCGTTAGAGTTCTCTGCAGGAAAAACTCTTTGACAGATAGTAAAAAGTGTTTTCATAAATACATCAACAACAAAAAATAGGGGCAAGGAAAGTCTCCATCCTTTGTTGGATGCAGAAGGGAAAACTGTAACCAAGGATGAGAAAAAGGCTGAGGTACTTAATGCTTTTGCCTCAGCCATCAACAGTAAGAGCAGTTATCCTCAGGGCAGCCAGCCCTGTGAGCTGTAGGCAGGGATGGGGAGCAGAACAGAGCCCCTGCCATCCTGGAGGAAGCAGTTAGTGAAGTAGGCCCCACTGCTGTCGGTGGGGCCAGATGGGATTCATCCAAGGGTACTAAGCTGGAAGCAGAGCTCACTAAGCCACTCTCCCTGCCCACTTCAATGCTATCACTGTTTTGGATAATTTTAAATTTTTAAATCCCTAGGGCTTGAGTTTCTGTATAACACAGCTGTCAGTAGCACTGCTTTTTGGAAGCACTGGTGACTTCAGTTATTGCTGTGAGTGTTTCGGGTTACTGCAAATCAGACCTGAGGTATCATGGTGACCTCCTGAAACTGTTCTTGGTTTTATGTTAGTGCCTTACTTTCAGTTTAATTTTCATGCCCCTTCATCTTTAGTATGTTCTGAATAAGGTTTTAAAGCAAACACTGCTGCTGTGATGGGTACAAGAGAAAAACTTCTAAAGTGATTGGAATATTTTGTCTTTGGAGCAGTATTTATTTAACATGTTATTAACTGGTTTTAACTAACCTTAAAAATTTTACAATTTATGAAAGAGCAACTTAAGTAGAAACCATCTATTTCTGTTCACCAAGTAGAAAAAGTCTCATGAAATATAAAAAAAACCAACATCAAATGTATGCACTTCACGAGATTATATGATGCCTGTCTGCCACTGCGAGGTGATCCTCATATGGTAAATGGTGTGGTTGAAGTGTTTTTTAAATAAAAGATTGTCTGTGCTATGTAGTAGCCATAGCACCACCTGTCCACGTTTTATCTTCAAAATGTGAGCATTAATTCGACTCTCCTTGAACAGGACTCCCCCAAAGCACAGTTACGTCGGACGATTGAGTGCTGCCGAACTGATTTCTGCAATCAGGATTTACAACCAACCTTACCACCTCTGGATAGCACAGGTAAACAATCCTATATGTTCACGCTGCTGCTAGGAAATGCTATCTATGTAGATTCTGTTCTTCCTAATCAGCAGCTAAAAATAAGGAGAAAATGTAATTACAATATTGCACTGATCTGTTTTTTCTGGACTAAGTAGTTTTTATGTTAAGCTGTGTATTATACATCATCCTCTATTTTCACTTTTCCTTTTTGACACGCTCAAGTTAATCTTTTCCTTCATCAGTCACTCATGGTATTTTTAGTCTCTTTCTTAGTGTGCTCATACCTTGATCTGCATGTGATCTCTTGATCTGGTTTTATTTTGGTTCCACAATCTGTTCTTTTTTTAAAAATTTTTTTCTAATCTCTGTTGTGCTTTTGCCATTATGAATGTATCTTAAAAAAGTATTCTGGCATTGTTTACTGTTCTCTACTGTAAATTTATTCTCTTCTTTCTGTTGTTCCCTGTGAAAATAGTTTGTTTTCATGCGCTTAGTCATTCACTGCTAGGCAAGTCGTACTGGTTTAACTGTTGCTTTATACCTTCTCAGAATCTTAACTGCTCTAAATCTTTCTGTTTCTAAGAACAAACTAGACAGGAGTCAACAACTCCAAAATGTCAAGTTAAATCCTTTTGTTGTTGTTGTTGTTGTCATCCAAATGAAATTCTCTGCTTTTCTGGTGTCAGTACTTCCTTCAATACACAGTATATGAAAGTATACCTAAATAAGCTGGTTACAATATATGTTTCATTTATAGACTTTGGAAACTGTACCTTATTTTTCTCTTTCTCTTTTCTGTCAAATAGATGGACTTTTTGATGGCAGCATCCGTTGGATGGCAGTGTTGATTTCTATGGCAGTCTGCATAATTGTCATGGTCATCTTATTTAGCTGCTTTTGTTACAAGTAAGGAAAGGACTTTCTTTATTGGCAAAATTTTTAATTTTGCAAATCGAGTGTAAACAGAGCAGTTGTTTTGTAAATGTACTCAGTTGTTCATATGTAACTTGGAAACCATTGTAATTTAATGTCACATTTCTGTGGGTAGCAGTTTGCATTGCTAGGTAAAACAAAATATTCAAGTCAGAGAATTGTAAGTGAATTTGATCCTTTCCTCTGGCTACAAAGTATGTAGTTTCCTGAGCTGTAGGTGGTCATTGTTCTAGAAATTTCAGAGGAAAGGTTTATGTCAGCCTCATCTGCCACTGTTTGAGGTCCAGTCTGTTAGTTTAAATCAAAATTAAGGGATGTTATGGTAGGCACACAGGCTGTGAGCTGATTATTAAAACGTTGGTTTTCCACCTGACTCATAATCAACTGGCGTGCCTGTACATGCTTTGCAACAACTTCTTAATATGAAAAGGCTATGTAAGTACATTTCAGGGAGAAAAAAGATACAGCAAAATCTGATTCTCTTTTTTTCCTTTTAGAAGATTTCTGAATTTAAATAGCTCCTTTCCTAGATGAATTTGTTACATATTTTGAAGAGTGTTTTGGAGTTCAGCTTAACTCCTGTTACTTTTGCAGGCATTACTGTAAGTCCATGGCAAAGAGGCACTGTTATAATCGTGACCTGGAACAAGATGAAGCATTTATTCCAGCTGGGGAGTCATTAAAAGACCTTATTGACCAGTCACAGAGTTCTGGGAGTGGATCAGGATTACCGTTGTTGGTAAGTCATAAACTAAGATTTTTTTCCTTCTCTGAATTTCTCTCCATCACATACTAAGTTTGGTTTATATCCAATGCCCAGAACACAGCAGCTTATCCATACAGAATGTTAATGTTTTATATGCAGTTATTATGAAAAATGAAGTACAAACTGAGCATGTTTAAAGCTCGTCTCCACGTAATTAAATAAAATGAAGTGCAGAATTAGATAATCTGTTGGCAGCAGCAAAATTTAAAGAAAACTTAGAGCCTACAAACATTAAGATAAAATACAAGAAATGGCTAATACAAGTACCAAATTGAGTGAACTCAGAGATTTTATTTCTTAGTGTCTACTGACCAATAAAATAGACTTGCTTTTATTGACTGATAGAAGTCTTTGGAGAGACCTTATAGCAACCTTTCAGTACCTAAAGAGACCTACAAAAAAGCCAGAGAGGGACTTTTTACAAGGATATGTTGTGACAGGACAACAGGAAATGGCATTTAACTCAAAGGGAGTAGGTTTAGAATGGATATTAGGAAAAGGTTCTTCACTATTAGGGTGGTGAGGTACTGGAATAGTGGAAAATTTCATAGAACGAATCTTAGAATAGGAACAAAATTCACAGCAATCCAAGCTTGACAAGCAGCTTGGCCAGGTATTCTTGGTTAACTGCTGGGTTTCCTTCCTCTGCCTTAATCACTCTTCTTTCTTTTTTTAATTTTTTTTTAAATCTTCTTTAGGTTCAGCGCACTATTGCCAAACAAATTCAGATGGTGAGGCAAGTTGGAAAAGGACGGTATGGTGAAGTGTGGATGGGCAAATGGAGGGGTGAAAAAGTGGCAGTCAAAGTGTTTTTCACCACAGAGGAAGCCAGTTGGTTCCGAGAAACAGAGATTTACCAAACTGTTTTAATGCGTCACGAAAACATCCTTGGTAAGCAAACAGTGCATTGTTCAGCTCCTGGAGGGCTTGTGTGAGGCAGGAGGAGGAGGAGTTCTTAGGGAGTGGCTTGAGGGGTCTGTGGCAGTTTCTGTGGAATAATATGTGCTAATAAAATGTAACTGAAAGGGCAGAATCTTGCTGCTCTTGGTTGAAAACATGTCTGCAGTGTCTTTGCTGGAAGACTGGAGTGGTAATCTCATGAACAGTTAGAATCAGAACTTCTACACTGTCAGTTTTCATAAGGGGGACGCATATCCTCTGATACAATACAAGACAATACAGCTTTAGGAATTATTACTGAATCTGCTGCATTAAAAATTTAAGTACAGATAAACAGTAATTTGGTTTCTGTGTTTCACAGGTTTCATAGCTGCAGATATTAAAGGCACTGGCTCCTGGACTCAGCTTTACTTGATTACAGATTATCATGAAAACGGATCATTGTATGATTTTCTGAAGTGCACAACGCTGGACAACAGGGCTCTCCTCAAACTGGCTTATTCTGCTGCATGTGGGCTGTGCCATCTACACACGGAAATTTACGGGACACAGGGCAAGCCTGCTATTGCACACAGGGACCTGAAGAGTAAAAACATCCTCATAAAGAAAAACGGAACCTGCTGCATTGCGGACTTGGGTCTTGCAGTCAAGTTTAACAGGTAGATGAACAAATGCTCTGTAATGGGCAAGCATTAATGTAATTTTTTTATTTAATGCATCAGATACTCAGTTTAAAAGGAAGATGGAATCATTTGGTTACATGCTTTTTTTTTTTCCAGTTTTGAGAGTAAAATGTTCTTGAATGCTGGTAGGCATCGTGATGAAAATAGATTGTTAAGAGAACAGTTAAAATACTCTTCTTATGGAAAATAAAAGTTTTGTAGAGGAAAGGAAGAGGAGACCACCTAATTTGTTATTCAAAACTGACCTTTTATAGTAATTGCTATAATGAAGTTTCATTATAAATTCTTTCATAGTAAATTTGAACAGTATAAAAGGAGTTGAAATTTAATTGAAGAAGTGATACTATAATAGTAGTATTAAATACTTTATATTTTTAAGTATTTTATTCCTATAGAGCCTAAAAGAAAGCATAAGCCTTTGCAAATAATTTTCTAAGTTGTTACCAAATATATTCATCTTTATACTGATTTTTAATGAATTTTTTTGTATGTTTTCAGTGTCAGGCAAAAGAAACAGTAAACTGTCAACTACCATAGTCACTATGATTTTACTGGATAATCTCTTTCAGGGAAGTACAATGTATTGAGAGGGTAATAAAAGAGAGAATTTAATTTAAATGTGGGAGCTTGGCAGTTTAGTGATTGCATCATACGAGACTTCATATCTTGTCTTGTAATAGTCCACAATTCACTGATTTCCTAATATTTTCATACAGTGACACAAATGAAGTTGATGTTCCCTTGAATACGAGAGTGGGAACAAAACGTTACATGGCTCCAGAAGTCCTGGATGAAAGCCTGAATAAAAACCATTTCCAGCCCTACATCATGGCTGACATCTACAGTTTTGGGCTGATCATTTGGGAAATGGCTCGGCGCTGTGTCACAGGAGGTAAACTTTGAAGTATTCTACGTAGAATCTGCCAGGCCCTTGTGTCACCTCAACAGTGCTTTGATGGGAAATAATGTAACAAGCTTGTTTCATCATGAGGATTGTGTTCTGTAAAAGCAGTAGTAACAGTCTGTCCAGAGAACAGCTTGAAAATCACTGAACTCAACCTTTTTGATTGTTACAGTTTAAGCATCTTGGGCTTTTTTTTTCCCATGTTCAAAAAGCAGAGTGCCTGATTTGGGGGAAACAGTGGGATGCAGATGTATTTCACCCCTGTGAAATTGATAAAATATTATTCTTTCTGTAATTCATCAGACATTATTCTTTCTTGCGTTTCTGATGTCATTCAGTTTTCTCCTGACACATATTTTTGTGACTCATCCTGGCTTTTCAGTCTTTTTTTGCATCCTTACAATTCTTGACCTGTATTTTTCTTCCATCTTACGCTTTCTCTGTGCTTTTTTGTAGCATGTAGTGGATTAGAAGAAGCCAAATTCTTCATTGGGTATCAAAATCAAAGGCACTGCAAGGAATTGTTGTACCTATTAAAGCTACTAAACATAATATTGCAGCTTTTGTAGGGAATGCCTGATTGTTACAGTGAAAATTTCAGATTTTTATCCCAGTAAAACAGTGTGGTTGCTTTGACTTGGCACAAAGTTGAGTTAATGTTTGCTCCTGGCTAAGGACATCTGAGAGTAGATACGTAGATTTATTTATTTTAATGGTCCTTGATCTTTCACAATTATCTCCAGGTATTGTTGAAGAGTATCAGTTGCCATATTATGACATGGTGCCAAATGATCCATCCTATGAGGACATGAGAGAAGTGGTGTGTGTCAAACGCCTGCGCCCCGTCGTGTCAAACAGATGGAATAGTGATGAAGTGAGTGTGGGGAAAGGGAGAGCTGGATCAGTTTGTTCCTTGATGGGGAAGGGTGTTTTAGTTTAGTAAATGTTAAAACATTGTGAAATAGGGACTACATTCAAACATTCTGATACTTTGGGCACCTCACAGCACCAGTAGGAGAAAGATACGCTTGAAATCAATTCAAAAGACTGAATTTTTTATGTATCTTTTCAGTATCTGAGGGGAAGATACCCTTAAGCAGCATCCAAGTATATGGTATATGAATGCTGCTCTACTTGAGACCTGCTGGGTTGTAATAAGTTCAGAGTTTATTGGAGATAAAACTTAAGTTATATTTTATTAATCTTAATGTATATTGCATATTGGTTTGTGGCAGAAGGCATTTCATGGAGTATGAAGCAACTCCTTTGTGGATTTCCTTTTTTTTTTTTTTTTCTTCCCCTTTTTTACTGTTACATTCCAAGACAGGCTGTAACGTAACCAAAATATTTTCATTTTAGATGTGTTTTTAAAGGGCCACAGCTTGAACACAGTAAATAACACAACTGTTTCACATAGCACGTTCAATATGCCATATCCATTCTTCCCCAAAGTCCTTGATTTCTTCTAGGAATTCCAAGTTTTCTCTTTTTTTTTTTTTTTTTTGACTGCTGAAAGAACTGTTGTCACATCTTCATTTTCAATGAAAAAATTCTCTACAGTTTTTCTGACGTAAAAGTGGATATTTTTTATTACTGCCATTTTTATATCACTGTTGTTGAGTTGTAATGAGACATTCTGGTAATGCATCTCTGGGAAATTAAATCAACACTTTTGTTAGTTCCACCTGCTGTAAATAATAGGCTGTGAAGGGAAGGGAAAAGAAGGATTGGCATGTGGATGTTGAGTCTGGATTTTTTTCAGTAGTCCTGTTTATAATAGTTTTCTACCAACAGTTTTGCAGAAAATGTTGCACATTTGGACTTAAGAGTCCTATAATTTGGCCTTGATAGTGAACCAAAATGATGCACCTCAGATCAGGCAGTTGTTACGCTACTGGTCTTTTGTTTTTCATTTTACAGTGTCTAAGAGCAATACTGAAGTTGATGTCTGAATGCTGGGCTCATAATCCTGCCTCAAGGCTCACTGCCTTGAGGATCAAGAAGACACTTGCCAAGATGGTGGAGTCACAAGATGTAAAGATTTGACGTAGGAAAGTGACTTTGGAGAGCAAAGCTGGACTCCTAAATCTTCTCACTCACATGTGGGTGGGGAAGATAGAAATAGGAAAGAGGAAATAACTGAGATTCAGTGTATTTTCTCAGCACACTTCTACAGGCTGCTAATCAAGTCTTTCAGTACTTCATAGACCGTGATACTGAGAGCCTCTACACACTACATGCTACGGATATGGACAGCCTTGATAAAATACACGGTTTGGTTTGGTTTGAGCTGCATTGAGACTTCAGTCATGCTTAGTGAGTCTCCAGTAAAACTCTGGGTACTGAATTGAATGTTCAGATTACAGTGCTTTCTGTGAAAGCCTAACAAGCTATATGGATTCAACAGAGATGGAGAATATAAGCTTTTTTTTTTTTTTTTTTTGCCTTCTACCTGATAAAACCTAGTCAATCCATACCAAGTTTTCGTGAAACAGCCTGTAGGTTATGAATCTATTTGTGATACTACTCAGTTTAACAGTTCCTTATGCCTTTATGTGTGTGCCAGGATTATTTTGCTGTCATTTGGAATATATAAAGAAACCATTTAAATGAACAAAGTTCTATGATCAGGGTTCCATGCATTTTGTGGCTCTACAATGAGAAATTTGCTACAGAATCTTTGCCATTAAGTTATCTTCTGAAATCTCAGTTTTAATTTTATTTCTGTTTTTGTTTGTGTCACAACGAGAACTGCAAAAATGTGAACCTTAATCAGTTCGGGAGTACCTACCTAAGTCTGTAAAGAGCTTGAAACAATCTCTCCTGAGGTGCAACCTGCCTTGGTCATCTCAATTCCGGTCCAGTGATGCAACCAGCATTTTTGCCATAGAATACTTTACATCTTAGCAAAAAGACAATTAATGATGTGTTTTGATTTTTCTACTTTATTGGGACTTACTGACAGGTGCCTGCCATGCTCTGAACTCTTTTCCACAAAGGAGGGGATTTGTCAGCTGTAGGGACGTGCTTTTCCATCATTTGGCCAAAGTAGGCAGGAGATAAGCTTTGAAAGGCTTGTGAACAAGTTTGTTTTACAGACACAAGAGAGGGAAGGCAGGAAGCACTGGGTGCCCAGAAGTTTAGAGAATGCAGTAAAGGTCAGGACCAGGAGAACTGAACACGGGAACTGTTGAAGATCCACAAGGTGCAGAAGATTTTGAGCTGGTTGCCCTGAGGTTAAACACAGGAGGCCACATCTGTGGGCCACTTAGTGCACAGTTACAAAAGTCAAGATGTGAGACAAGGTAAATCAGTTGATCTTTTAAGTTCCAGTTAAGGACATTTGGGAGAAGTGGCATTGAAATTAATTCAAGAAGATACAGTAAGTTGCATAATTGCAAAATTTGGTCTTATTGTGCCAACTATTTGGCCTGCACAGGAAAGTGTAGTTCCTTCCTTTTTGTCACTGACCCTCACAACTTGTTTAAAAGCCAGAACCCTCCATGAGGTTACTGTAAGGCAGAATTACTGATTTATAACTCCTTTGGCACTTCTGCTTTGAATTTAGAAAGCAGTACCATAACTCAAGCTGAAGCATCAAATGCATGAATCATCTGAAGAACGAACACACAGTATTGGAACCATTGAATCTATTTGATAATTTAAGTGCCTATAACTTTGTACTGTAAGTCTTGTTCTTGGTAACTTTAAAAAGGGAAGTTATTTATACAGTGTGTTTTGTGCTTTAGTTAAAAAAAAAAGCCAACAAACACCTAGTTCTAGGTACATGTGTACAATTACATACATGCACACACACACATGCCACAGTCGAGATTTGAAAAAAAAAATTAAGAATAATACTAAAATTGATGGAAAAAATGTTAAAACTTCAGATTGATTTATGCCAGATTATTTGTTGTCTTAAAATATGTACATGGAGATTGTTTTCATATGTGTTTAAATTTCCCTTGAAAATACAACTGATAGAAAACAATATAATGCAGAACTAATGTGATTTGTGAACAATTACAGCCTTCTAGCATGTTACTTTTTTTTGTTTTAATCCTGTAGTTCCCATAATGTAAATGGTCAGGCAAAAGATTGCAGTATTTTTATTTTCTATTGTGATGTACAGACTTTATTTAACAGTTCTACATATTTTATAGAAAACTAGCTATTTCGAGGGACTTTTTTTTTTTTTTTTTAATAAAGTCATTACTTTTGTTTAGTAATGCCTTTAAGTATTAATATGTATTCTGGCTGAGAAGTTGATAGGTGTGTCAACCATGGTTTTAACTTATTTGAAAACATCAAGAGATATATGATAATGTGCCACAATCCTCATGATAAAGGGCTTTTAAAACAAAGAGTTTCTCCGTCCATTGCCAAGAAATCCGTGATGATTTTGAAATGGTGAATCGTGTCTTCGCGCATAATTTTTGCACAGGTAGATGGAAAATGTTTGGTAAAAGCCAAAAAAAGTAAGGAATAAGCTTCTTTTTTTTGTTGTTTTTTCCTTCTCTAGGATTTTTATCGATAAGAAGGAGAAAGTGATGATGTAGGTACCCTGCTAGCTTAAACTTCCAAAGCATGGAGGTCTGATTAAATTAACCCCTTCCTTTTAAAAACATTTTGTCACTTCTTTTTGGAGTTACCACATCATTATTAGCTGTAAACTTGTTTTGTGTATTTTTTGGTTCATTTTTCCCAAGTCTTCAGGAAGCCCCTGCTGGAAACATGAATTTCAACAATTCGAAATTTTCCCCTTGTTTTCTTTGCCATTGTTTAGGCATTTGCAAGGCAATAGGATGGTGATCTTTGGTTAGACATCTTAGGACCTAAATGGATTGTCAAGTGAGCCAACTGCTGCAAGATGGTTTTTTTGAGAGGAAAAAAAATCTTTTTGCCTTAAACGTAATTTTTCAGCACTTCAGTTACTGGGTTCATTCTCAAAGATGTCATGCCTATGTCATTTTTACGGTCCTGAACAGGAGCTTCCTTGATTCCCTGATGCCCAGCAAAATGTTAACACTGAAGTATGTGGTTGCATAAAGCACTTGAGCACATAGCTGTGTTCTGTGCTAAGTCAGCTGTTTGGAGCTGAAGTGTGTCTGTACTGACATTTTAACAGTCATTTGGGAAAAAAAATACGCTCAAAGCTAGCCCATTAATTTTTATGTAATTAAGCACAATTAGTGCAGACTCTAAAGGTAAGTTGTTGCTTTATGCACTGCTGTTGAGTTCAGAAGCCTTTAAGGTCAGGGAGGGTAATAGGATTCTTCTGCTGGATTGTGATTAATTTGATTTTCTTGATCAAAATTTAAAGCATTTGTCATCCAAAAATGTGTCCTCCAGGACAGGCAAATGTGATTTCTTTCTTTTTTTTAATGCAGATATCAAGTGGGTGAAGTATCTTGGGGTCTATCAAGACTGTGCCTTGGAAGTTCTTAAACACCCATATGGAGGGATTTTTTATGTTTATTTAACTTACTCCATGTGATTTCCCTTAGATGGAAAATCTTTTGAGTCACTTATATAATTCTTATTGTTACAGCAACTGAAAGGAAAGTTTTTGTGTCCCTGGTTAGCTTCTAAATTCCCCAGGAAACATGATATTCCTACAGAAAAATGTAGGCTTACATTTTGAGTTTATTCTGACTTTTATTTAATGTAATTTTTCCTCAAGAAACATACAGTGTTCCCAATATCCATCGCTTTTCCCCAATTATTTTCTTAATCAGTCTTTTTTGAGGTCTTGAATAAAATGTAAAATCAGTATTTTAAGTTGCCTCTGTAGTAGTCTAGAGTAAAATGTTAGACCTTGATCTAAATGACCATTTGAATGTGTTTATAAAACAAATCATTTGGATACGTTTCTTCTACTTTATCTTCACAGACTGTATTTTAGTGATCTAAAATGTTTGAAAAGCAGAGATATAAAGTTATAAAACATTCTTTTGCTATTGCAGATATTTTTAAAGGGAAGTTACATGCTCATTTTCTGTGAAATACTAGAATGATTTAGCCCTTCCTCATTCTCCTGACAGTGCCTGTGAGTCAAAAGTCTTTATCCTGTGCCCACAATTTTTATTCCAAGTAGGGGTGGTGATGTCTAAAAGCAGCTGGCAGTGTTGCACAATATGGTGCTTTATGGAGCCACGGTGTATTAGCCTTGGTTGTACAGCAGAAGTGGAGTGCACATAACTTCTGATTTTTTTGACAAATCTAATGTAATTGTTGCTTTGTGATGTTCTACCGTTGAATGCAATTATGGAAGCCCACATCATGTAGTGACGTTTGTGCTCTGACATGACATGCCCAAAATGAAATGTACTATATTGTATACAAAGAAGAAAAAATAACATTGTAGTTAACCTAGAGAAGATGTAAATAAAATATGAAAGAAGAGTGGAACGAGACAAATGGTCACACTCTCGTGTGTGTTATATGCCAGAAGTGTAGAATACTATAAAAATGTAACACACTAATGTATTTTGTACAGCATCTGCTTTAGAAGGTGCCTTATTGAGTTTACCATGAATTGCTTGTTCTGTACACAGATTATGTCCAATGTATCATTTTTAAGTAAATAACCTTATTTTAGTACACATTAGTAATGTGTTTTGTTACCATAAGATTTTGCCTTAAAAATGTACTGACTTGGAAATCATAATACTGTAACTAAATAATTCCCTACTTTTTAACACCTCGTTTATGGTTTGGTTTTTTCCCCCACAGTCTTTGAATAAGTTGTTAATGATGATTTTTATTGTTCAACCATGTTCAGAATTATTTGGTGCTTTATAAGTTCAGGCTCTTTATTCCTTGCACTAAATTTAGGTACAACAGTAAAACCAGTGTTTGCTTCTCCTGATTTTTATCCCTGTCCTACAGCAAAGCCAGAGGCAAGTCAAAATTAAATAATACTTTTATTTGAACATATGCAAGTTCACTACATGTTGGTTTTACCCATATAAATTTACCTCAAGCTCATCAAGTAAAAGAGAAAAAATAAAGGGATGGGGGATTTTGTGATGGGTTTTTGTTCCCTCTGCCTACAACATTCTTTTTTGTGTGGTAATACATGGATCAAGAGATTTGAGCTTAATATACTTATGTACTGTTGGTTGCAAAATTATGCAGGTGCTCCTGTATAGCCTGCTAAATTTACTCTGGTTTATATGATTCAAGCAAATGAAGACCAGTCAAGGGGATGTCTGACCTGTGAGTACACAATTATATAAAGTGTCAGAATTTGTTTTCTCATTGCAGAAATGTATCGGGTTCTACTCTCTGTAGAGTTCGTTTTAGTTTACAAGGAGGAAAGAAGCAAGATCAATTTCTGTTCTCTCTTTGCCTTTAATCAGGAGTAATCTTAGGTTTAAATATGGTTTTTTACATTAGCTAGACAGTTTTGATATCTGAACATCATATAAACTGATATCAGTATATTATAAAGATAATTTTTATTTGTTCCCCCTGTACAATCAAGTGTTAAAAGCTTTCAGTAGAGTTGTGGAAAGTACAGTGGAAGACTAGCCTAAGTAGTTTCAAACCTTTTTTCCTTAATACCAGGAAATTAAACTGCACTCAAAGTTTTGGTCTCCTTGCAGTCTTGGCAAAGTAACCCTTTTTCCTACGTTTGTGGCTATTGTGTAGATTGTGGAATGTCTACGCTGATTACACTGATTTTGGTTGGATTTAAAACTGGGATTTTTATATTGGCGTTACAGGAGGATGTAATGAAAGAGTGGGGATAACTATTTGCACCTGTCTTTGTTTTAACGAGCAGCTTTTCCTCCCCCGTGTTGTTTCGTGAGACGACCACAGGGTGATGCTGTGTCCTAAAGACAGGAAGAGCCTTTGGAAAAAATTGGAGAGTGAAAATAAGTTCTACTGCCTGCTGATAATAAATATCAAAATGTTATCCTTTATGTATAGTTATTTTTGACCTCTCTATAAAAATATGTTACTGCTGAGCTTGCATCAGTATCTAAGAACTGAAGCAACTCTGTCTAGTGACAAACAGCCCATGGGTATATTTGTGTGCAAGCCAAAAAGCAAACTGAGTAGTTAGTGAATTGAATCACAAGCTTTTAAATAAATTACAGAAGTATCACTAATTTCCTAAAGGATCAGGTTTAATTCCATTGATTTCCTTAATCCTTTCTGCAGCTTTATTTTCAGCTTTTCTCAAAACACCACTTTGGTCTTTCTCAGTGGTGTCAATGCAGTAAGTCCATGTCTGCTGTGAATCTGAGCTGGGAGAGGACCACTACTCTGGGCTGACCACCTCCTGAGGCTGGGTCATAAGGGGTGACCTCCATGGGCTTCAGAGGCTGGCTTGATGTGGGTGTCTGAATGAGTTCACGCGAATCTGACTGCAGAATTCAGGCACTGATGGATCTATAGAAAGGAAAAATTGCTTCTCTACGATACCGTCGGTAGTTGGATTTTGAGTAAAGTAAGGGGATCATCTTAGTAGTGGAAAAGAAAAAAACATGAGGAGACTTTAATTTTAAAATGTGAAGTACTATAAGATATTGACATTCACAAAGCAGCACAAGTTTCAGTAACAAAATAATTCCGTGAGGTCATTAAGATGCACAACTTTCCTATCTTATTACAAAGCTTAGTGGTTTGAGCTGGAAATCCATAAACTTGGAAGTACTGGCAGTGTTTTCTGGCAGGTTTCTCAGAAGTATTAAAAGCAGTTGGAAGCTTATTTTTTTAAATACAAGACTCAGACTGACAGTACATGTATCTGTATCTTGGAGTGAGCACATGTGGCCATCAGGCATGTTAGTCTGGTCACTCTGCTCTGAGAGAAACTGAAGCAACTTGTCTGCTTTTACAGGCAACTCTTCCCAATGCCTATGGTCAGCTTCAGGTTGGTTTTTATGTTTGGAAATTCCCCTGTTAATCCACTGAGCCGACCAATAGCTATGTTTTAAATTGTCTTCATTAAATAGATTCCTCTAGTCTGTTGCCTAGAAATGCAGGTCATGGTGATGGGGGCTGCGTTAATCTTACAGGAAAAAAAACAAGCCACCACCCCGCCAAAAAATGCAAGAAGTGGTTTAGGTGGAAGTTTGTGAAAAATCTGGTGTATTACTTTGAAAAAAACACAACCACAGCTCAGTAGCTTAATGATCTTGTTCCTTGGGAAGGAATTCAGTCTTCCTGGCTTATGCAGCCAGTAGAATGTTTTAACTGTCATTAATTTTTTGCTTCAGAGTCTGAACATGAGTCTTCCAGTCAAATGTGTCTTCTTTGTATATGCAGGTGGCTAACTTCTTTAACATCTTTATATTAACATTTTGTTCACTCTGGAGTCAGTGATCTCTGAACTCGCCTCCTGTATTCTTCAACAAAAGTAAACTCTGGTAAGTACAAGTATATCAAACATTAAGAAGTCCTGTTTACTACCTACCATGTCCTTTTCCAAGTAGCTATGGTATGGTTTTCATTCCAGTTGAAGCTTTCTGTCAAAGCTTTAAAAACAAGCAGGATTTTCAAATGTCTACCTATCCCCCATCTGTATTTAATTGTGGAACAGTCTGTAATTGGAGGAACACTGGTAAGAAAAACATCTGGGTCACCCCAGTATAGTGGCTTTGTACTGAAAGAACCCAATCTTACAGTTTGATGCTGCTCTTGAGTTCTGACGTTTCACTTCTTCCATTTTTTTCTGCTCTTCCTTCCCTCAGATACTTGAGCAGTCTGTGGGACAGAAGAAGACCCTGAGCTTGCAGGCAGTGTGGGACGTGGCTCTGTGCAGATACACAGGGACACGTGGCCTGGTAGTCTCATGTGGGTCAGCACTGGCCAGGAGGTGGGGGAGCATTTTTCATTGTTTGCTTTGTTGGATTTTTCAGGATGGAGAGTGGCAATCTTCTCACCAACTGAAACTGTGTTGTAGCTTTATTTCAAAGGATTTGTGTTGCCTGCTTGTCAAACTCTTGCCTTAATGCAATGTTTTTGGTATCAATGGGTTGGGGTTTTTTTAAATTTTGTGGTTTAGCCTTGCTTTGAATACAGGTAGGTAGGGAGAAAACCCCTTAACAGCAGGATAGATTTCTGTTAGAAAATGCTGCCTTAAAAGGGCACGAATTACATAATAAGAATTTACCTCTTCCAGAGAAATACTGACAATTTCAAAGTGTGTTTCAATTTGGCAAATCTAATTGCTTTAATATTGCTGTGTAAGGTATTAGGTTAGACAAAATAAAATGCTGCAATACTTGAACTTCTTTAAAGTCAAGGTCTTTGGGAGGTTCTGTTTGTCAGAAGAAAAGTTTAGGACATGACCAGACATGGTCATTTTGAGATTTTTGGAAATTAAAAAAAATAAATCCCAAGATTCAAATATTCTAGTCATTGCTTTACTCTTATTATAAATGTATATTCAACACTGAGAGCAGACCAATCAGGTTGCATTTTTTTTTTTTTTTTTTTTCGTTTTGCTTGCTTGCTTGTTTTTAAAATATTTACTAAATGCAGGACTCTGGGCTGAATTCATGATCGTCTTCAGGATTATCTTTAGAAATAAACTGAATTTTCACCAATATTTTTAAATTATGAAGATGTAATTCATCTTAACAATGTTATATTACTGTTAAATTTTTGTAGTTTAGTTGAAATACAACACAGGCCCAGAAACAAGGACTGGGCCGTTTAGAATATTCTTGCTTGCATATATTAGAGTGAATATATAGAGTGAATCTCACTGGATTTGACAGATCTCTACTAGTGTTCGTGTTGTGCACAGACTGAACACTGGAGTGAGTTGCAGAAGTTTCCAAGATAGTCTGTGACTCCCTGTGGTCCACAGAGAACTAAAAGGTAAAATTGCCCTGGCTTCTGGATTTTAAGGTACCATTCACGTAGTACCAGAGTTGTTCTTTGCAGTCCTCTCAAAAATGTTTTCCTTGCCAGTAGTGGGGGTGATTTGTCAAGGGAAAGAAGAAATCATGTTATAAGTGAAGAAAGTCCCACAAAATGTTTCAGTTCTTGCAGTGGAAGGATTTGGGAATGTGAAGTCCAAACCAATAGCTTTTCACTTGAAAGAAAATCCCATTGCTGCTCATAAGCAACTATATCAAAAGCCAAACACTTCCAGAAAAGAAGCATGAAGACAAACCTAGGGTAGTGCTATGTTTAAACACATGCAGTAGGATTGAATACATCACAGATGAAGCAATACTGAATGGATCCATTGCATCTATGGAAGGAGGTCAACAAAACATAAATGTCACTATTCAAGTTTTAGATATTAGGAATCCACCCATAGTTGTCCCAGGTGGACTTCTCTTCACTACAGAGCCCTGCAGCAATTCAAAGCTTACTGTCTCCCCCTTCTCCATTTCTGCCATAGCAAAAGTAGTCATGGTGTTTCCAGTTGGTGTTTTCCTCTGACTACTTGAGAGAGTTCTTTTGTACCCACGGCTAAAGGAGAGTTGTCCCAGTGCTGGTCCTGAACTGAACTCCACAGAGATGACGAACAGGTAGATGCCTTTATGTGGTGCTTTAAAGTGGCCGTGCTCAGGGAAATAGCTGTTCCCATAATTGAAGTATGTTTCATTAAACCTCACAGTTTTTTCACT